AGCATACAATAATTTATAATTTAAAATATAGCTTCAGGGGCTGGAGAGATAGCACGGCAGGTAGGGCGTTTGCCTTGCACATGGCCGACCACGGTTCAATTCCCAGCATCCCATATGGTCCCCTGAGTACCGCCAGGAGTGACTCCTGAGTGCAGAACCAGGAGTAATCCCTGTGCATCGCCGGGTGTGACCCAAAAAGAAAAAATATATATATAGCTTCGGCTGTGGATTCAGCAAACATTCCCCTCACGGCTACTACAGGCGGTGCATCGAGCCAGGCTCTGGGAATCCAAAGCTATAGAAAGGAGGAAGCTCCATTTCTGATGAAATGGGGAAATGTCTGACAAGGAAGATGGGCCTGGGTGGGTGAGAAATAAAAGAAAAAGGGGGAAAAAATGCTGGGAAGAGGCTTTACCACCAAAAGAATCATATTTCCGTTGGCAAGGAACCTCAAGAGAACTGGTACAGATGAAATGGCCCAGAAACCTGACCCCGAGGCTTGTCAGTTCTGTAAAGCAAGCGAGCTATTCAATCCCAGCCTTTAGTGCCTGCCCACCTCATTTGCCTCAGCCCACACCATGAGAACAAGATTCCTTTCTCTACTTCATTCTCCTTTAGAAGACTGAAAGAAGGGACTAACTCAGTACTGGAAAGCCTGCTTTTCCCAGGAACTCAAACTTCCAACCCATAAGGAACCTAAATTTTTAATTACAAGACAGCTCAGCAAAAGTCTTAGCGAGAATGGAGAATTCCCCCAGTAGCAACTTACGTTTAGGCCATGGGAAGAACTGTCTGATCACCAAGGAACCTCAGGAAATGGGGGAAAAAAGATCTATTTTCGAAGAGGATGGATTTGAATTCATAATTCACCTTCATGAGAAGCCTGTAAGAGGCCACTCTTCTTTTTTTTTTTTTATCTCAATATTTATTGAGAACACTCCCAAGAGAGCAGAAAAAAGGAAAGAGAATCCAAACAATAACATAAATAAGTCATGACATGTTGGTAATTAAAATAAATGCTTTGCATTTCTTTTACACATTCTTTCAAAGTATTTTAAAGAAGGTCAAGGTTATTTAAATTGTTTTATTCAGTGTTCTAAAAACATTTCTGTGAGAACTTAAAAAAAAGCTGTAATCATGTTTTATTCTTACACAGTACATTTATTTATTTATTTATTTAAAGGCGACTCTCCAAAGATATAAAGTATGTCTGCCTTTAGAAAATATGTGGGGTGGGGCTGGAGAGATAGCACAGCGGGTAGGGCGTTTGCCGACCTGGGTTCGATTCCCAACATCCCATATGGTTCCCTGAGCACCGCCAAGAGTAACTCCTGAGTGTATCGCCAGGTGTGACCCAAAAAGGAAAAAAAAAAAAAAGAAAAGGAAATACGTGGGGTATGCTGAAGAGATAGTACAGCAGGTCAGGTGCTCTCCTTGCATGCGGCTGACCTGGGGCTGACCCTAGCACCTTATTCTGTCCCCAGAGCCAAGAAAGCCCTGAGCATTGTCAGGTGTCAACCCAAAACAAACAAAAGAAAGGACAATACATGATGGGCTTTTGTTGTTGGGTTTGTTAGGTTGTTTTTTTTTTTTCAATTTCAGGTAACCCCCAGTGGTGCTTGGGGGTTACTCCCAGCTCTGTGCTTAAGGGTTGCTCCTGGGGGTGCTCAGGGGACTGTGGAGTACCAGAGATGAGTTCAGCCCTTGACACTACCTTGCTGGTCTCTAGAAAAACATTTATGCCATTATGTGACTGACAGGAAATCCTACAGTAAGAAAATTACAAAAGGGAAATTAAATATTTTCCTGAACAAAAGTCAGCCAGGAAAAACACAGACTGAAGGAGTGCGGGACCAAAGGAAGTCAGGTTGAAGACTTTGAATACTAGAGCAAAATTTAAAAGGTGTCAGAGGGACCTAGAGAAGCAAAATGAATAGATCAAACAAGCAGTTTCTAGCATAGTTCTGACCATTCATGAGATTCGGCACTAACACGGGGGGTGCCAAAGGCACACTCCAAAGCATGACGGAACAGCCCTCAACCACCTATCAAAATTAAGCCTTCTCTGCTACCACATAATTGGAATTGTCTTTTTCTTTTTTTTTTTTTCATGTTTCATTTTTTTTCCTTTATTTTATTTTATTTTTTTTAAAGTTGTAGATTTACAATTTTTTGTGCTTTGGTTTCAATTATACAATGATCAGATACCCATCCCTCCACCAGTGCCCATTTTCCACCACCATAGATAATATCCCTCCCACCCCCATCCCCCCATCCCCCCTGTCTCTGTGGCAGGGCAATCCCCTGTGTTCTCTCTCTCCTTTTGGGTGTTGTGGTCTGCAAAAGAGGCATTGAGTGGCAAACATGTTCAGTCCATAGTCTACTTTCGACATGCATCTCCCCTCCTGGGAGGATCCTCCAAACATCCTTTATTTGGTGCTCCCTTCTCTATCTGAGCTGCCCTTTCCTCTAGGATACCCGGCTGGCCTCTAAGTTATGGAGTAATCCTCCTGGTGCTGATCTCAGCTATTCTTGGGTATTAATCTCATACTTTATTACTTTATATCCCCCAGATGAATGCAATCTTTCTATGTCTATCCCTCTCTTTCTGACTCTTTTCGCTTAGCATGATACTTTCCATATTGTACCACTTGTATGTAAATTTCATGACTTCATCTTTTCTAAGAGCTACATAGTACTCCATTGTGTAGATGTACCAAAGTTTCTTTAACCAGTCATCTGTTCTTGGGCATTCAGGTTTCTTCCAGTTTCTGGCTATTGTAAAGAGTGCTGCAATGAACAAACAAGTGCAGATGTCACTTCGACTACACATTTTTGCCTCTCTGGGATATATTCCCAGGAGTGGTATTGCTGGGTCAAATGGGAGCTCAATTTCTAATTTTTTGAGAATCGTCCATACTGTTTTCCAGAAGGGCTGAACCAGTGGACATTCCCACCAACAGTGAAGGAGTGTCCCTTTCTCGCCACATCCGCACCAGCATCGGTTGCTTTTGTTCTTTTGAATGTGGGCCAGTCTCTGAGGTGTGAGATGGTATCTCATTGTGGTTTTGATCTGCATCTCCCTGATGATTAATGATGTAGAGCATTTTCTCATGTGCTTTTTTGCCATTCGGATTTCTTCTTTGAGAAAGTTTCTGTTCATTTCATTGCCCCATTTTTTGATGGGGTTGGATGTTTTCTTCTTGTGGAGTTTAACCAGTATTTTGTATATCCTGGATATCAACCCCTTGTCAGATGTGTATTCGGTGAATATCCTTTCCCATTCTGTAGATTGTCTTTGTATTTTGGTCACTGTTTCTTTGGAGGTGCAGAAGCTTCTTAGTTTAAGATAGTCCCATTTATCTATCTCTGTTTTCACTTGCTCGGCCAGTGGCGTGGCATCTTTGAAGATACCATTAGCTTCAATGTCATGGAGGGTTTTGCCAACTTTATCTTCAACGTACCTTATGGTTTCTGGTCTGATGTTGAGGTCTTTAATCCATTTTGATCTTACTTTTGTACTTGGTGTTAGGCAGAGTTCTGAGCCTATTTTTTTGCATGTAGCCGTCCAGTGATGCCAACACAATTTATTAAAGAGGCTTTCCTTACTCCACTTCACATTACTTGCACCTTTATCAAAGATTAGATGATCATATGATTGAGGAGAGATGTCAGTGTATTCAACCCTGTTCCATTGGTCTGCAGTTCTGCCTTTGTTCCAGTACCATGCTGTTTTAATTATTACTGCTTTGTAGTACAGTTTGAAGTTAGGGAGGTTGATTCCTCCCATTTTCTTTTTCCCAAGAATTGCTTTAGCTATTCGTGGGGGCTTATTGTTCCATATAAATTTCAAGAGTGTTTGCTCCATTTCTTTGAAGAATGTCATGGGTATCCTTATAGGGATTGCATTGAATTTATACAATGCTTTCGGTAGTATTGCCATTTTGACAATGTTAAGTCTCCCGACCCATGAGCAGGGGATATCTTTCCATTTCCTCATGTCCTCTTTTATTTCCTGAAGTAGCGTTTCGTAGTTTTCTTTGTACAGGTCCTTTACTTCCTTAGTTAAGCTGATTCCTAGGTACTTGATTTTCTGGGGCACAATTGTGAATGGGATTGTTTTTTTCATGTTGCTTTCTTCTCTCTCACTGTTTGCGTATAGGAAAGCCATGGACTTTTGGGTATTGATTTTATAACCTGCAACTTTACTATACGAGTCTATTGTTTCTAGGAGTTTTTTGGTGGAAGTTATTGGGTTCTCTAAGTAAAGTATCATATCATCTGCGATTGTCTTTTTCTTAATTAATTAATTTATTTATTTTATTGAACCACCGTGAGATACAGTTACAAGGTTTTCATGTTTGAGATTCAGCCATACAGTGATCGAACACCCAGCCCTCTACCAGTGCAAACTTTCCACCCCCAGTGTCTCCATTATCCACCCCCGACCCCCATCCCAGTCCTCACCCTGCCTCTATGGTAGACAATTTCTCATATTCTCTCTCTACTTTTGGACACTATATTTTGCTCAAATTTTCCTACCACCATTCAAGTCTGCCTTCCAGGGACAGGCGCTAGATTATTTATTTTCCGTTGCTCATTTTGCATATCATGAGAGGTCGCGCACCCACATAAGCGGCCGCGTGCTTTGTCTTACTCCCTTTTTCATGTTCCTTGTATGTTTCCTCTGTATTTTATTTTACTATTACTATTGCTTTTCTTGTTTTCAGTAACAGTGTCAAATTTAGGGTCCCAAACAGGCAAGGCAGTGCTCTATGGCTAGGCAACATCCATGCCACAAAGGACTTCCCCTCCTGGTTTTGGGCCACTTCTGCCCAGAAGTGCTCAGGGCTACTTCTAGTACAGTGCTGGGGAGTCATTCCCAGGGATCAAACCTGGGGTCCTCACGCATAAAGTATATGCTCTAACCTTCTGAGCATCTCCCTGGCCCCAAATACTCCTGCAGGCCCACCCTATTAGCTAAACATTTATGTACTTACTATTCAGTGAAGAACCTGGTAATGCCATATTGGCTAATGTCTTCCTTGTTCTCTAGTAGCTGGCACACTGCATCTTCCATGTATGTGAGGACATGTCTCTGGGCTGCCAAGAAAGAGAGAAAGTGAAAGACAAGGAATAAAAGCCCTCCCATCCTAGGGGCTGGAGCAATAGCACAGCGGGTAGGGCATTTGCCTTGCACGCAGCTGACCCAGGTTCGATTCCCAGCATTCCATATGGTCCCCTGAGCACTGCCAGGAGTAATTCCTGAGTGCAGAGCCAGGAGTAACCCCTGTGCATCGCTGTGTGTGATCCAAAAAGCGAAAAAGAAAAGTCCTCCCAATCCTAGTGTGAGGGCTGGGGGTGGAGGGAGGGGGGGGAGTGAATGCAGTCCTAACCCCTCTGTCTCTGAGATGTGGTCTCAAGGGGACAGCGGGAGATGGTGACCGGAGAACAGAACTTGCTACCCTCTGGTTGGCTGTGAGCACCTGCATCATCCCTCTCTGTTTCAATGAGAGGGCTGAGCTGAAGAAGAGCTTTAGCACCAGTTAGCAGTAGGCCTGGAATTTCTTTTCTTTCCATCACCTTCCAGCCTTACACTTCTGAACGTCTCAGAAACTGAGGGAGTAGAGATTCCATACCTCAAGTGTGGATAGCCTAATTGCAAAGCAAACTTGGTTCTTTAGTTCTTTATTGGAAAAAGCCAAATCACTGAAAAAGTTTCCACACCATGAAAAGCTCAATACTGATGTTATATAAGTAACCATGACACCTGTATAGTATAGTGCAGAAATCTTTTTTTTTTCTTTTCTGACTATGGGTGTGGCTGATAAATGTGTGAGTCAGATGTGGGCTTATTTAAATAGAAGGTGAGAGACTAGAATAGGCAGATCTGGATATGAGTCCTGGCTATGAATCTTATCTATTTGTCTCATTCCTTGTGTTTAAATTCCCCTCCTCTCTCTGGCTCTGTGTTCAAGGATCACTCCTGGTGGACTTGGAGGACCATATAGGGTGCTGGGGATGAAACCCAGGTTGGCAGTGTACAAGACAAGCAACTTAACTGCTGTACTATTTCTCCAGTTCCTCATGAAATTTTTTATAGTGTAAATTCATTTTCTCTTCCCCCTGCACTCAGGGTCTATTTCCTCTGACTCACCAAACTGTTCCAGCTCACTGCCCTGTTGAGTGATGTGTTCACACCCCAAGGTATGTTCTATCAATGAGTACTTCCTGAAACTCACAACTATCAGACATTGCATTCTCTACATGTCCTCAAGCCCCTCAAAAGATATGAGAGCAAAATCTATGCTTCACCAGTGGTTCAACAGTTCCACCAACTCGAAAACTATTTCTCAGCCAAGGAGAAAGGTCAAAGGACTGGAGCACCTGCTTTGTGTGGGGGAAGTTGGGGTCTGATCCCAGCATCACATTGTCCCCAATACCACCAGGAGTATTGGGAGACCTGAGCACCGAGTCAGCAATAGCTCTTGAGAACTTTCGGGTAAGGCCCAAAACACAAAAACACAAAGAATGAAAAAGGAAAACTATTTCTCTAAAAAATTACCACAAAACAGAGTAAGATTCCAATATAAAACATGCCAACTTCTAGCATTGTTTTCAAAATATAGTCATAACTAATACACATCAAACTAGGAAGAAAAAAATGACCAAGTCAATATTAAAATCATCTACATGTTCACCTACATCTGCCACTTTCCTTGTTCCACTCACTTACCCTGATCTTTCAGAGAGTCCTTTCTGGGGCAAGAGCACCAGTGGGAGAGAAGCTTCGAGGCCCTGAGTCTGATCCCCCCACACCACATGACCACTCCCCACCCCAGCGAACACTAGTAGGTGTGATCCCAAAGGGGGGTACAAGGGTTCCTTCCTTGGGGTCTATAGGCAATTGTGACTTAGATCTACCTAGAGGTAGTGCAGAATCTTTTTTGTTAGGGTAAATACGAAAAAGTTCTATGTAGAAGCAAGTCCTGCTGCTTCTCCCTCCAATTCAGAGCTAAAAGTCAACTTGGAAGTGCTTTCAGGGAGAGATGTTTTCAGAACAGATGGAATCAAAGCACTTTTGTCCTCCCAGAAAAGACGAGGAACCTTCTGGAAAAAAAAAAGAAAAGACCTGGGATCCCAAAAAAGAAAAAAATTCAAAAACACCATGCCTGTTTAACTGTCAGCAGTCAATCAGATGCCTAGAATTTAACATTACTTACAACAATAAAGATAATAACACTAATAGCTACCAATTTTGAGCACCTGTGCAACATATTGACTAACAATGTGCCAAATGGGTGCTAATTGTTTTACAAGCTTATGTTCTTCTAGTCTTCACAACAATCAAGTTCACGGTATTTTGAGTACTTATGCTTTATAAGGAGGAGAACTGAAACTTGAAGAACAAAAGTAACTTGCTCAAGGTGACACAGCCAGTATTAAAAGAGGCTGAGATTGAAACCAAAAGTTAAGTTTCATACCGAGTCCGCGCTCTTAGCCCTTTGCTCCTGACTAACGATTTATGACCAGTTTCAGAAGAATTAAACAGTGCTCTATTTTCTAGAACACAGAAGCAGGCTGTCTGGTGGTTGGAAAGTCACCTGGGAGATATGGTCCATTTTCCTTTATGCCAATTCATGGGTGCGCGCGTGCGCGTGCACGCTGTCCCCACCTGCGTTCGGCGCGCAAGCCAATCGGCAAGTGAGCGAAGTTAGGACTTGTCCCCAAATTTCAGTTTCTCACAAACCACCCCCGTTTGGAGCGCAAGGCATTCGCCGCCCCCGTTCCAAGTTCACAGGGTGGATTTGGAAAGCCCTGGTGGCCCTTCGCATCTGTGGGAGAAGGGAAGAAGCTCTGCATTGCCGGCAGACTGCGGGAAATTGCCTCCCTGCAGAGTCTCAGGCAAGCCAAGTTCTAATTGCTGCGCGCTGGTGGCTGCCTTCATCTGCAGCTCTTATCGGTCCAAAGTTCCCTCTGCGGTTAAGTGCACTCCCCAATCCTGGAAAATCCTTGCAGTTTATCAAACTTCAATGAGACAGAGTTCAAAGCTCTTGCATGGCAATAAAACATGGAGGGTGTCATTTTATATTATTTCTTAAATGCAAAGGAATAGGCTTTAATTTATGTGAGTGATTAAAGAATAAAAATTGCACACCTGCAGTCCCGGAGGGCAAAGATATCTGGGCACCTTTGCTGCCCGCCTGGAAAAGGAAAAACATTTCAGATGGCTTTTCCTCGCTTGCTCTGCTGTGCCTTCCGCCACAAGCCCTGGACTGCCTTTTCCACCAGGGGCCAAAGTGGTTCTATTTTTCTGAAATCCACACTAAGAAGCAAGTATTGATGTCTTACCCAGCATCACTGTCTGACATGAATACTTATATCTTTAACCGGCACCACTGAAAAATCTACATGAAATAGGAGTATAGCTCACATTGATATACATAAATAAAGAGGATCAGTCTATGAACCTCACAAGCGAATTACACATTTCATTCTGTTGACTCACTCAACACTGGTATTTTGATAATTAATATCTTTTTACCAGTCACTCCTGCTATGAAGTGATGGTGATATTTTAAAATTTGTTTTGTTTTGTTTGGGAGCCACACCTAGCTGTGCTCAGGGCTTGCTCCTGGCTCTGCTCTAAGGAATCTCTCCTTGCGGGCTTGGAGGACCATATCAGGTTCTGGGGATCGAACCCAGGTTGGCTGTATGCAAAGCAAGCACCTTTCCAGCTGTATTATCTCTCCAACTCCTAAAATGACCGTGATATTAAGAATGGCATGTCTGGGGCTGGAGAAACAGTGTGTGACGCACTCACCTTGCACATAAAAACCCAGGTTTGATCTTGGCACCGTATATACGATTCCCGGAACACAGCCAAGTGTAGCCCCAAACCAAATAATAATAATAATAATCACTGTCATTGTCTTCCCACTGTTCATCGATTTGCTCAAGCGGGCCCAGTAACGTCTCCATTGGAGACTTTGTTGTTACTGTGTTTGCAATATCAAATACATCACAGGTAGCTTGCCAGGCTCTGCCATGCGGGCGAGATACTCTGGGTAGCTTGCCAGGCTCTCTGAGAGAGGCGGAGGAATCGAACTCGGGTCAGCCATGTTGGCTGTGTGCAAGGCAAATGCCCTACCGCTGTGCTATAGCTCCAGCCCTGTGTCTGACAAACTATTTCTCAGAAAATATTTGTCAAGTAGGAAAGGTAACATACTAATGATTATATCATTATTGCAGCAGGCTGCTTCTGATTCTACAGACTGTAACAATATCACAGTCTACTTTAGTGCTTAAGAACATGAACTCAAGTCAAACTACTTCTGGACCTGGCACTTACTAATCATGCTAATCTATACAAGTCACCCCAAACCTCCACACTTTCCTGTAAAATTGATGAGTAGTGCCTACCAACTGAGATTGTAATGAGGATTAAGTAAAAGAGTTGAAATAATAGACTATAGTGCTTGGCACATGGTAAATATGCAGTAAGTATTAGTTACTGTTTTTTATTAGAACTGTTGCAATACACTCTCCCAAGACATTGCAAAACCCAGAAGGCAGGCTACTAATGTACACCAAGGTACTCCAAGGCATACTAAGGAACATTAATGTCCACCAAGGTATTCCTATGTACATGAGTACTAATGTACATCAAGAGACATCAAGGTACTGATGTACACCTACTGTATAGCTTTCCCACTCACTTATTTAAAGTTGTGCTTATACAAATAAAGATGCTTACAGATTATCTTCAAGGATCCTTGAGTTATATAAAACCAAGCACATATAATAATGTACATAGTCACATTCCAGCCATAGCCTTCAACTTGTGGCAAGCATTCATTATTAACTGCTAATTACCTAGGAGGCTCTAATTTATATGGGGAAAGTCCGAAACTATTTCTTTTTACTCTCTTCCCAAGCATAAATACCATCAAAGTAATACTTGCTGTTTGTTTCTCAATTAAATGATAAGGGTCCCATCTGGAAAGTTTCGCTTAAGGGGCTCAGAATTTTCCACCTACAGCATTAGACTACTCTTTTATTATTGTTATTATTGAACACAGTATCTACGCCACACTAAAGAA